TTCTCTCTCTCTCTCTCTCTGAACAAAGTGTAGTACTATGCTACTACTACCTTCCATCATTAACTTCTTCCCACTCATTCAAATGCCAAAAATCAAAAAGAGAAAGCAAAAGCTAACCATAACTATCTCCAACACCACTTTAGTTCCCCAGTCAGTCACACACAGCCCCTTCCCTAGACAGAGAAACTCAAACTCACTTCTATTCTATTCTAGTGAGAGAGAAAAACACACACCAACAAAATAAACAACTAAAAGGAATAAAAAACAAAAGCACCCCTCTTCAACCTTTTATTTTTCTCTTCTTGCTTCATCTTCCAATCTTCTCCCACCATTCTAGTTTCTTTCACACCTTCTCAGTCAAGACAGACACTTTTCTTGTTTCTGTTCTGCACGGTGAAGAAGCTCTGAGTTCAGTTGTGAAAGGAGACAGTATAGTGAAGAGGATGTAAAACAAAAGGATACCCATTGTTTTTCTTCATCATTTCTATGGTGGGTCTCTATCCCTTCTGCCTATTATGCTTTTGGGTGCCTAGATCTCTCTTTGTTTCATCATTTTTTTTCCCTCTTTGTTTTCTTTTGTTTGACGTGCTTTGGGTCATGGTTTTCCAATGGAAACAAAATAGAAGATTGGGAGTTTTTACATTTTTTAACATTTCTCCATCTCTTGTTGTCTGTATTTTCTTGGTTCTTCTCTCTCTATCTTCTGTATGTTGCTTATTTCCTCTGAAGTTGAGGTTTCTTGCTCAAAGGTTTGTACTTTGAGATTATCTTATCAACGGGGCTGTGTCTGATTGTCAGGCATCAATTCCACCATTTCATCATATTTGCTCTGATTAACTATGTTTTCCCACTTCAAATCAATTTTCAAACTTTAACAATTTAAGCTCCTTTATATTCTGTGTTATGCTGCGTGTTTAGTATTGGGAAATAGAATTTACAGACGGCTTTGTTTTTATGTTGTCTATGATTTCTTGTGCTTGATGTTTCAAGCTATTAAATTGAGCTTTCTACATTTGTCGTTTCTCTGTGGATCCAATTTATAATGCTGTTTGTGCTTTCCGCAGCTACCACTAGTCACTACCAAGAAGAATAAGACTACTTTATTCTTTCATTCCATGTTCTTGTTATTTTACTCGGTTCCCGGCTTTTTCACTTGATAATTGGTTTTAAATTAAAAATACACAGTAATTCAAGTTGAGTGAATCTTCTGTTAAGTTAGTTCTTTGCTGAATTTGCAGGGTTTTCTTAACTAGAAGTCATTGTTTGATGATATGTGATATTGGGATATGGAGAGGGTTGCAGAGCCAAAGGTACTTCCTCGGTCTTTGCCTGTTCTGGTTGAGGTATCTAATGCGCACACTGCTGCAATGAGAGAAGCTGGTCAAAGACTAAATGCGCAGGATGTTTCGGGTGTGCGAGGGATTCCATCAAGAGAAGGGAATCAGTTTTCAAAGTCACGAGATGGCCCCATGACACGTCTTGCCTCCATCAGAGAAGTGGCTCAGTTATCAAATGCACGAATAGTTTTGGTTAGAGAGGATATGGGGTTCGATACACGGTCCTGTCAAGAGCCTCCCTCCCCTGTTCCTACAAGAACGTGGAAAGGAAAGAGCTCTTTACCTGAAGCCGTAGAACTTGTGCCTGATATTCAGACATTGAAGGGTAGCAATGATTCTTTTGGGGAAACTGGTCCAAGTTCATTTGCTGGTGCAAGTCATCCCCCAGAACCTGTTGATACTGATCTTATGAGAACGGTTTATGTGCCAATAGGTCAAACCAAATCCGAGGCAGCATGTTTGATGAAGAGTGTGTCCTTGAAGGGTTCTGGTCCTTTCTTAGAAGATCTTTCAATTTGTGTTCCTGCCAAGAAACAAAGCATGGCTGTTGTTTCTCCTGCAGAAAGCCTGGTTGATGAGTCAAATGTGACGCATAACATACCCTCGCCACTTTCGGGTGCTCGTGCATCTCAGAATACCGAGAACTCTCCTACTGCTCCAGATTCTGAGGAGAAAGAATGTGTTTGGGATGCATCTTTGCCTCCAAGTGGTAATGTTAGTCCCCTTAGTAGTATTGATAGTACTAGTGTTGTCAGAACAATGAGCATCGTTAATAGTTGTGCAAGTACATACCGGAGTGATGCAGTCACTAGTGATGGCATGCTTAGTTTGGACAGGAATTGTGATAGCACTAAAGGAAGTGTTAGAGGGGATTCACTGGAGAGTGCAAAAACTAGTGCTAGCCGAGCAAGTGATAGCAGTGGCCTCAGTGATGACAGCAACTGGAGTAACATAACTGGCAGTGCCAACAAGCCACACAAAGGAAATGATCCTAGATGGAAGGCTATCCTTGCCATCCGAGCACGGGACGGAATTCTTGGCATGAGTCACTTCAGGTTACTCAAACGACTTGGTTGTGGTGATATTGGAAGTGTTTATCTCTCAGATCTTAGTGCAACTCGATGCTTTTTTGCAATGAAAGTTATGGACAAGGCATCCTTAGCAAGCAGAAATAAGCTGACTAGGGCTCAGACAGAAAGAGAGATATTGCAGTTGCTGGATCATCCATTTCTGCCTACTTTGTATACACATTTTGAGACCGACAGATTCTGCTGTTTGGTAATGGAATACTGTCCAGGGGGTGATCTTCACACCTTAAGGCAAAGACAACCTGGGAAACATTTCTTGGAGTATGCTGCACGGTATGCTTTGAACTTTACAGATACAAATACACATTCATTTATCAGAACTGTGAGTAGCTGCTTTCAGTTGTGAAGATCTCCTTTTTCTAGTCTGTGACCTTTATGTATTCATCTGCATTTTGATTGTTGATTCCTTTCATATTTTGTGCTGTTGATGATACTATACACGATGATTATATTTTTCTTAACAATTATGCAGAGGACATTGTTGATTTTCCAATGGTGCTATAAATGTTAAAGTCATATGGTTCTGCTGCAGTATGAAAATTGAGACATAGCCGCTTATATAAAGTAGGTTGGCTAGATAATAAATTAGCTTTAGTGACATTGCCAGAATGCTCTTGCATTAACGATAGGTATAAAGCAGAAGAATTTGCTGCATTGAAGGTCTTCTCCAGGTCTGCTATAGGCCGAGATAATTCAGACTGCTAGGATGCCATGAACAATACTAATGTGTTAAAAAGCTTGTTTTTCCTTTTTCACCTTTCTTTTTTCCTGAATTGGATTAAATTTTCCTAGTTCTGGTTTTCCTTATATAAAAAATAAGGTAACAGCACATTGATGCTGTAACTATTCTTATATTAGTGTCTTTATATGAAATGCTAGGTTGTTCAATAGCATGCAGAGTCACTTATCTTTGAAGTCTGAAACAATTGGAAGGTATTAAAACATCCTAATCAGTGTATAATACAATTGGCAAATATGTATGTTTCTACATGAGTGGTGCTTTTTGGAAAATGTAATTTTCCTTTCCTGTTTTGACTAATAAAATGCTTGTCATGCTGTGTAGCTTTTATGCAGCAGAGGTTCTGCTGGCACTTGAATATCTTCACATGCTTGGAGTGGTGTACAGAGACCTTAAACCTGAAAACGTACTGGTCCGAGATGATGGTCACATAATGCTCTCAGACTTCGATCTTTCTCTCAGATGTGCTGTTTCACCTACCCTTATAAGAAATATTGACGGGGATCCCTCCAAACGAGCTGGTGGCGCATTCTGTGTGCAGCCGGCTTGTATCGAGCCTTCATCGGTATGCATCCAGCCTTCATGTTTCATGCCTCGCCTTTTTGCTCAGAAAAATAAGAAGTCACGGAANTGCTTTCAGTTGTGAAGATCTCCTTTTTCTAGTCCGTGACCTTTATGTATTCATCTGCATTTTGATTGTTGATTCCTTTCATATTTTGTGCTGTTGATGATACTATACACGATGATTATATTTTTCTTAACAATTATGCAGAGGACATTGTTGATTTTCCAATGGTGCTATAAATGTTAAAGTCATATGGTTCTGCTGCAGTATGAAAATTGAGACATAGCCGCTTATATAAAGTAGGTTGGCTAGATAATAAATTAGCTTTAGTGACATTGCCAGAATGCTCTTGCATTAACGATAGGTATAAAGCAGAAGAATTTGCTGCATTGAAGGTCTTCTCCAGGTCTGCTATAGGCCGAGATAATTCAGACTGCTAGGATGCCATGAACAATACTAATGTGTTAAAAAGCTTGTTTTTCCTTTTTCACCTTTCTTTTTTCCTGAATTGGATTAAATTTTCCTAGTTCTGGTTTTCCTTATATAAAAAATAAGGTAACAGCACATTGATGCTGTAACTATTCTTATATTAGTGTCTTTATATGAAATGCTAGGTTGTTCAATAGCATGCAGAGTCACTTATCTTTGAAGTCTGAAACAATTGGAAGGTATTAAAACATCCTAATCAGTGTATAATACAATTGGCAAATATGTATGTTTCTACATGAGTGGTGCTTTTTGGAAAATGTAATTTTCCTTTCCTGTTTTGACTAATAAAATGCTTGTCATGCTGTGTAGCTTTTATGCAGCAGAGGTTCTGCTGGCACTTGAATATCTTCACATGCTTGGAGTGGTGTACAGAGACCTTAAACCTGAAAACGTACTGGTCCGAGATGATGGTCACATAATGCTCTCAGACTTCGATCTTTCTCTCAGATGTGCTGTTTCACCTACCCTTATAAGAAATATTGACGGGGATCCCTCCAAACGAGCTGGTGGCGCATTCTGTGTGCAGCCGGCTTGTATCGAGCCTTCATCGGTATGCATCCAGCCTTCATGTTTCATGCCTCGCCTTTTTGCTCAGAAAAATAAGAAGTCACGGATGCCTAAAGCAGATCCAGGCCTGCAATCTAGCACACTTCCTGAGCTTGTTGCAGAACCAACAACTGCTCGGTCCATGTCTTTTGTGGGCACTCACGAATACCTTGCTCCCGAAATCATCAAAGGAGAAGGTCATGGAAGTGCTGTCGATTGGTGGACATTTGGGATTTTCTTGCATGAACTATTATACGGTAAAACCCCTTTCAAAGGCTCAGGAAACCGCGCGACCCTTTTCAACGTAGTAGGCCAGCAGCTCAGATTTCCGGAGTCACCGGCCACCAGTTATGCGAGCCGTGATCTCATCCGCTGCCTGCTGGTGAAGGAGCCGCAGCACCGGCTGGGAGTGAAGAGGGGTGCGACTGAGATCAAACAGCACCCGTTCTTTGAAGGCGTGAACTGGGCGTTGATCAGGTGCAGCACTCCACCAGAAGTTCCAAGAGCAGTTGAATGTGATGTTGTAGCAGCAAAGTTTGAAGCAGTTGATAGTGTTGGGGTTGGCATGAACAATAGTAGTAAGAGGATGGGAGGTAATAATGAGATGAAGTCTGGGGGTAAATATCTGGACTTTGAGTTCTTTTAGTTTTTGATTCTTCAATCTACATATTTGTATTGTGTTTCTTCCATGTTCAGTTAATTTTACTAGAGATGCACAGTGCATCGTTATCATGTTGTTTCTTTTTAGTCACACTTACCAGAATTCCATTTCAGTTGGAAATGATACCACCTTATATTCAGAGGGTAATACAGCAATTCTTATAGATAACTCATCATTCCATGTCTCAACACAAAATCAATCTAGATATTTCTTGTTATTCCTTCGAATCTCAACTATTGTTATTTAGAATGTTTTGCATATTGCCACACTGTTCATTCATTATTAGGAGACGAACGAGGTTGACAGTGACAACTCCTACGTTGTCACCTTATCATGCATCGCCACATGGTAAACATGGATCAGAATGAAGATTAAGAAATTGTGACAAGCCATGACGATATCATATNCCTGAAGCCGTAGAACTTGTGCCTGATATTCAGACATTGAAGGGTAGCAATGATTCTTTTGGGGAAACTGGTCCAAGTTCATTTGCTGGTGCAAGTCATCCCCCAGAACCTGTTGATACTGATCTTATGAGAACGGTTTATGTGCCAATAGGTCAAACCAAATCCGAGGCAGCATGTTTGATGAAGAGTGTGTCCTTGAAGGGTTCTGGTCCTTTCTTAGAAGATCTTTCAATTTGTGTTCCTGCCAAGAAACAAAGCATGGCTGTTGTTTCTCCTGCAGAAAGCCTGGTTGATGAGTCAAATGTGACGCATAACATACCCTCGCCACTTTCGGGTGCTCGTGCATCTCAGAATACCGAGAACTCTCCTACTGCTCCAGATTCTGAGGAGAAAGAATGTGTTTGGGATGCATCTTTGCCTCCAAGTGGTAATGTTAGTCCCCTTAGTAGTATTGATAGTACTAGTGTTGTCAGAACAATGAGCATCGTTAATAGTTGTGCAAGTACATACCGGAGTGATGCAGTCACTAGTGATGGCATGCTTAGTTTGGACAGGAATTGTGATAGCACTAAAGGAAGTGTTAGAGGGGATTCACTGGAGAGTGCAAAAACTAGTGCTAGCCGAGCAAGTGATAGCAGTGGCCTCAGTGATGACAGCAACTGGAGTAACATAACTGGCAGTGCCAACAAGCCACACAAAGGAAATGATCCTAGATGGAAGGCTATCCTTGCCATCCGAGCACGGGACGGAATTCTTGGCATGAGTCACTTCAGGTTACTCAAACGACTTGGTTGTGGTGATATTGGAAGTGTGTATCTCTCAGAACTTAGTGCAACTCGATGCTTTTTTGCAATGAAAGTTATGGACAAGGCATCCTTAGCAAGCAGAAATAAGCTGACTAGGGCTCAGACAGAAAGAGAGATATTGCAGTTGCTGGATCATCCATTTCTGCCTACTTTGTATACACATTTTGAGACCGACAGATTCTGCTGTTTGGTAATGGAATACTGTCCAGGGGGTGATCTTCACACCTTAAGGCAAAGACAACCTGGGAAACATTTCTTGGAGTATGCTGCACGGTATGCTTTGAACTTTACAGATACAAATACACATTCATTTATCAGAACTGTGAGTAGCTGCTTTCAGTTGTGAAGATCTCCTTTTTCTAGTCCGTGACCTTTATGTATTCATCTGCATTTTGATTGTTGATTCCTTTCATATTTTGTGCTGTTGATGATACTATACACGATGATTATATTTTTCTTAACAATTATGCAGAGGACATTGTTGATTTTCCAATGGTGCTATAAATGTTAAAGTCATATGGTTCTGCTGCAGTATGAAAATTGAGACATAGCCGCTTATATAAAGTAGGTTGGCTAGATAATAAATTAGCTTTAGTGACATTGCCAGAATGCTCTTGCATTAACGATAGGTATAAAGCAGAAGAATTTGCTGCATTGAAGGTCTTCTCCAGGTCTGCTATAGGCCGAGATAATTCAGACTGCTAGGATGCCATGAACAATACTAATGTGTTAAAAAGCTTGTTTTTCCTTTTTCACCTTTCTTTTTTCCTGAATTGGATTAAATTTTCCTAGTTCTGGTTTTCCTTATATAAAAAATAAGGTAACAGCACATTGATGCTGTAACTATTCTTATATTAGTGACTTTATATGAAATGCTAGGTTGTTCAATAGCATGCAGAGTCACTTATCTTTGAAGTCTGAAACAATAGGAAGGTATTAAAACATCCTAATCAGTGTATAATACAATTGGCAAATATGTATGTTTCTACATGAGTGGTGCTTTTTGGAAAATGTAATTTTCCTTTCCTGTTTTGACTAATAAAATGCTTGTCATGCTGTGTAGCTTTTATGCAGCAGAGGTTCTGCTGGCACTTGAATATCTTCACATGCTTGGAGTGGTGTACAGAGACCTTAAACCTGAAAACGTACTGGTCCGAGATGATGGTCACATAATGCTCTCAGACTTCGATCTTTCTCTCAGATGTGCTGTTTCACCTACCCTTATAAGAAATATTGACGGGGATCCCTCCAAACGAGCTGGTGGCGCATTCTGTGTGCAGCCGGCTTGTATCGAGCCTTCATCGGTATGCATCCAGCCTTCATGTTTCATGCCTCGCCTTTTTGCTCAGAAAAATAAGAAGTCACGGAGGCCTAAAGCAGATCCAGGCCTGCAATCCAGCACACTTCCTGAGCTTGTTGCAGAACCAACAACTGCTCGGTCCATGTCTTTTGTGGGCACTCACGAATACCTTGCTCCCGAAATCATCAAAGGAGAAGGTCATGGAAGTGCTGTCGATTGGTGGACATTTGGGATTTTCTTGCATGAACTATTATACGGTAAAACCCCTTTCAAAGGCTCAGGAAACCGCGCGACCCTTTTCAACGTAGTAGGCCAGCAGCTCAGATTTCCGGAGTCACCGGCCACCAGTTATGCGAGCCGTGATCTCATCCGCTGCCTGCTGGTGAAGGAGCCGCAGCACCGGCTGGGAGTGAAGAGGGGTGCGACTGAGATCAAACAGCACCCGTTCTTTGAAGGCGTGAACTGGGCGTTGATCAGGTGCAGCACTCCACCAGAAGTTCCAAGAGCAGTTGAATGTGATGTTGTAGCAGCAAAGTTTGAAGCAGTTGATAGTGTTGGGGTTGGCATGAACAATAGTAGTAAGAGGATGGGAGGTAATAATGAGATGAAGTCTGGGGGTAAATATCTGGACTTTGAGTTCTTTTAGTTTTTGATTCTTCAATCTACATATTTGTATTGTGTTTCTTCCATGTTCAGTTAATTTTACAAGAGATGCACAGTGCATCGTTATCATGTTGTTTCCTTTTAGTCACACTTACCAGAATTCCATTTCAGTTGGAAATGATACCACCTTATATTCAGAGGGTAATACAGCAATTCTTATAGATAACTCATCATTCGATGTCTCGATACAAAATCAATCTAGATATTTCTTGTTATTCCTTCGAATCTCAACTATTGTTATTTAGAATGTTTTGCATATTGCCACACTGTTCATTCATTATTAGGAGACGAACGAGGTTGACAGTGACAACTCCTACGTTGTCACCTTATCATGCATCGCCACATGGTAAACATGGATCAGAATGAAGATTAAGAAATTGTGACAAGCCATGACGATATCATAGTGTGATAAACTGTTAGTATATCACAGTGAAGTAACCCTCAACATAATAAAACAATTTTCTTCACTATTAACAGAAAAAATAAATATTAGGTTGTAACGATAAAATGTGTTAGAAATTAAAAATAATACCTCATCGTGCAGAAAAAATTAACTGTAAAATAAGCATTATCGTCGCGTAATATTACATTTATCATTTACGATTTTATCTGTCTTAAAAATTAATAATAAAATGACAAACTAGGCAAATGGACTATCCCTCCCGACTCATCTTTCTCCAGTAGATATTTAGGTTGGACCTTCTCCGGCCCAAATAATAACAGAATTAAATTTTAAAAATTCAAGCAAATTCGTATTGGGCTGATCGAAGCAGCCCATAAAGTGTGTCCATTTCTACATAAGAGAAGAATGAATAAAAAAGTATCACCCAAAAAGAAAAAAGGGCGAATATATTTTTGATTATTTGAATGAGGAAGAGATTAGACAAGAAGGGTGAAAACTTGGGACAAGGAAGAGAAATAATTGGAAAAAATAAGTAAACTATCATTTAAAATTAAATCATAAAATTTAATTTAAAAAAATGATGAAAAAATAACGTTTATGAATTAAATTTTAATTTATAGAAAATCTTGATTTTTATAATACCTGTTAATTTTTTTTTCTAAATTAGAAGGAAGAGCATAATATAATAATATTTTTAGCTAAGTACGTGAATTGTTACAATTTAATAAAAGATATTTATTTTTATCAGACTTTTGAAAGGGATGTGTGGATAGATAGTAAAATCTTAGCAGTAACTTTAAGAGTTAGTCATAATGAGATTTCTTTTTTTATAGGAGAGATTCATATTTGTAAAAGATTTTCTAATGTTGAAGTCAAGAAAGTTTAAGATTTTTATAAATATACTAAGTAGGAGTGGTTATAAAGTGAGTATTATTTGAAAAATACTAATTATATTTATAAGATCAATAGATCATAGAATTATTTTTCATTCGAATAATATTTATCTAAAGCAAGCCTATAATAATAATATAGTTAATAATAAGTTAGGGGAGATAGTAAAAGTGATATAAATCAAGGAGCAATAATCATACAAGGTAAAATCGGCATTGATTATAATACAATTTAAGTTTTCATTTCATTTCCACAAAGTCCTTTGCAACAAAATACAAAAAGAGAGAGGGGGAAAGACAATAAAATCGTAAAATAAAGTTGAAGAAGAAATTTCAGTCAATCTCTTTGCAGCAATTTTAAGAAATTGACGATTTAATTTATTTAGGTAAAGAATATATGGATTTATATTTTTTTATATTTTTGTTTAATGTAATACTCTTGGTTCTCTTTTGGGGTCACAAAGTTTCACTCATCAAATTATCCTTTTTGTCAATAGTTTTCAAAGCATTTCCTAGAGTTTACATTGGTTCAGTACTTTTAATTTGGATAATAGTACAAAACACGTTATGCTTTCATCTTTTAGATGAATCGGAAAGGAAAACTTAAAAGAAAGAACTATTATGCTTTGGCCCCTTTAACATAACAAATAAAGAAAGAATAAATAACTTAAAAAGAAAAATGAGAAAATAAGAAAGAGAACAACAAAGAAAAGAAAAGGTGATGTGATTCAATATTCACTAAATGAAGATTTAAACTTTGTAAATGAGAAAACATGATATCTTTTACAATTTGCGTAATCATATTTGAACCTAAAACTTTATGTGAATTAGAAAAGCCTTTCCCTACAAATAGGTTGGTCCTAACGGGTTATGGGAAACAATGATATGGAATCAAGTTTAGTTATCTTTCTCTATCATTTACAAATTTTCTTTAAGTTTTATCCTTTTAAAATTCGAAAATTTATTTCCAAAATCAGAGGACAAGAATGACTCCACCCTTATAGATAATTTAAAAAGCTAAGAATAATTGTCACAAAGAAATGAAAAATGAAAATAACTGAAGAGAATAAAATGTAAAAGGAAAAAAAAAAGATAATAAGATGATAAGAAGATTATAAAAGGTCATACAAATAAAGGCGGATAATTGAAGTGAAAAGAAATAGAAGATAAAATGAAAGTGTTTTAGGTGCAAAAGATTTAATAAAAAATAATGTTTTTAAAAGCACTAAGACCATTCCCCTCGCTTGTTTTCACAGGAGATTAATATCTTTATCGTAAGTTTGATATCAACTAATTTTAAAAAAATTCTAATGCATTTAATTTAATTTATTTAATATTTAATTTAAATAAGTTAATTCAAGTTTAATAAATTCCAAAAATCAAAGTTTATGCAATATGTATATATATTGTTTGCCACATAATAATCAATACCAAAAAACATGTTCGGATAAGCCAAAATAAACGTATCTTATGTTTTGAATATCATTTCATTATAAAAAAATTAAAATTTGTAGTTACCTATATATTTAAAGTTATAAAGTAGACAAATTTTCGCACTATTAATCTTTTTGTATTCCTTACAAATATGTATCTAGTCAAACTCTTAATATATAAGCTTTTCCTGAATTGTTGTATACTTGCTTCATCAATCTACTTTGGAACAAATGCAGTACTTGGGTTTAATGACATCTCACTTTCCTCCTACAAGTTCTTGTTTAACTTTGTTTTTGTCTTTATTGTTTATAACATCTACATAGAGTCTGAACAGTATAATATATTTTTGTCTATAGAAACATAATTTATAATATATGTTTGAATGCTATATATGTAGCGAGCATTTTAGATTTATATCTCAAAAATAATATAAAAAATAATTAAAATGATGATTACATTTGTATCTTTAAAGTTATATAATATAAAAATTGAATTCTTAAATTAATTTGTATTTAAAAAATACGTGGGTAAGTCAGATAACTCCATTTGATCTGTCAATTTGACAAATTAGACGGGATGAGTGAAAGTAAGATAATATATAGAAAATTTCAACCAAAGTTTTTAAATTTTTAAGAGAGTGAATCATAATCTACTTTATCATCCTTAATTGTTAATAAAGTGTGTACTGATTAATCTAATATATGTATTACTAAGGGAGGGTCCAAAATTAAAAAAAGAAAGAAAGAGAAAAGGCTAAAAGATTAATTGATAATTAAGATTTGAATAAAGGTGTTGTTGATGAGAAAATTGTGGTGTGGAAATGGGCGGTAAGAAGTGACAAAATACTGAGAGAATGATAGTGAGGAAGAATATGGAGAGTGGAATAGTGTACGGCCTAGGCCACTGAAAATCATCTTATTGTCAAAGCTAAGTGATCCATGTGTCAATCAATAGTGGCATGTTACACATTTCTTTTGATTCTTCAACATCACTTTTTGCATCATTTCTTCCGTGAATTTTCTCCTTCAAAAACTAGTGCTAAGATTTCCTCCCATAATGCCTTCAGATATACACGCACTTCTCTCTTCGCTACCGTCCGCGTTTAATTACTATCCCTAGCTCTTCTATATCAAACCAAATTAATTAAGACTATTTTTATATAAATTCAAAGTTTTAATTATTATATATTCAAAATATCATGAATTATATTTTAGGGAATGGTAAACTGTGTTATTGAAGAATAAAACACTACAGTTAATAAGTTATTCAGCAACCAGTTTTAGCCATGTGAATAAATATGTTAAAAGTGTGATTAAAATAGTCACGGATGAGAATCGCCATTGTACATAATCATTGTTGAAGAACCCTTACTACTATCCAATGAACGTGAATTCTAACTTGATAATCTTAAACCTTAACTTGAACCCTTCGTTTCAAACCTTGATAATATCGAATACTCAATTGTGTGTTATTGTCTCCTTAGAAATGTAACTTATCACTCATCTTTATCTATCGTTATTTCTTTTTGGATTAAATATGTTTTGATTCTTTAATTTTTAAAGTTTATTTTTTATTGTGTTTTTGGTTGGGTGATGTAAATTGGAATGAAGTGGAGATGTAGAGTGGACAGGGATCCTAAGTTAAGAATCTAAAATGGATATGCAAGATAGTGATGTGATGAATGTAGTCCAGAAAATGGTAAAAGCTAGTTACTTCAAATGAAAAGTACAAGATAAAAGATCAAATTCATTCAAAAAGCCATCGTTGGAATGATGTACCTATACATGTCAACAGGAATATCATTCAAAAAGATTTTATAAAAGATCAAATTCATTCCCCGTAAATAAATCGTTGGATTTTTGTTCATAAAATGTATTTATGTTTGTATATTTTAACTTTTAATTTTCATATTTTTTTATTATTTAAGTTTTAATAATATGTTATTTTAAATAAAACAGTGGAGGTGAGACTTACTTTATTAGTAAATAAACATTTATTTAAGAGTTAAAAAATATACGAGTGTTATCTTTTTTCGAACATTTTGATCTTTGAAAAAGAAGCAATGTCTATTGGTTGACGTAATTAAGGTGTTGGTTTCTTTTTACTTTCAGAGTACTCATTAATTTGTACAAAAAACTGAAAGTCTTCCAAACCTCTTACGTATCTCCTTATAATTCCTCTCAATCATTAGAAACAAAAACCGAAAAAAGAATATAAATATATATTCTTTGTAACTTATTTCTAACTTTCTTTCCTTTTCCAACTTTATTTTATTCTCAAACTGCAATTAATTAATTTATAATGAGTGTTATATAATTTACGGTTACTAATCGTTTTTCTCGTTTATTAGTTATATTTAGGTTGTTTGCAGAAAATATTCTAAAACTAAAAATAATAAATATTTGACAATTCAAATATTAATAATATTGTAAATATAAAATCACTTACTTTTTATCTTATATTTTTATTTATAG